CGTGACATATTATGTAAAAACTTTACAAATGAAAATAATTTCAATGTTTTCGGTACACACAATCGCTTCTATTTTTCTGACTTCTAAATAAAAGTCACTTATAAGTTGTCAAAAGATAGAGACAAAGCTATGCGTTAGACAGAAACAAAACATGAATGATCGAATGAAAGTGACTGGTTTTAGCTAGGGTGGCCAGACTAATAAATAAATCCTGCCTTAACAGTAGATTCGTTAATTTTTCGGTAAATATCTTTTCAGAAACCCACAGTTGCTCAACAAATAGTTAATTATGACAGTCTGTCAACTAATTCAATATTTGGCATGCGTTTCAGAAACCGGATGTTAGTCAAGTTGAAGACAAAAATCTGAAAGAAAGTTTGATTCCATTTACAGTTTCGGTCGATTTAGTATACCTAGGGGCCATCCATAAATTACGTCACACGTTAAGGGGGAGGGAGGGGGTCGATGAAGTGTGACATTGTGTGACAAGGGGCTGGGAGGGGTCCTACATTTCGTGACGTCACATTTAAAAATCTATTATAATCAAAATGTTGAAACTATAACTTTACGAAAACATAAACACCCCAAACGAGAACAAAGTGGTGCTATGCCTGTTATAAATAATTTAAAGAAGCGGGCTCAATGTCTATGGACTCAAGATTATTAGGTTTGCATTTTTAATGTAATCATAATGCTATTCATATTTGTTTTGTTAAATTGTTGGATTTGATGTTAATATTATTAAAAAACAAATTTGAATGAAAATGAAACTAATTTCAGATCCGCTGTTTACATTCAATAATTTCTAAATTTTGTAAAATATGTGACGTCACACTAGGGAGGGGGGGAGTCTCATAAATGTGACCAGCTGTGACAAGGACGGGGGGAGGGGTAAAAAATCATGAAATTTGTGTGACGTAGTTTATGGATGACCCCCTACAGTGAAGTATACGTAAGGTACAATTACATACTTATATTGCAGGATATCAAGCATATTAAATTTGTAGAGGTGGTGTCGGAAATGCGTGGTTCTTAGTCGAGTAATTCAACTGGAACGGAAATATCAATCAATTATTTTTTAAAGCAAGTAAAATATAGGCAAGTATTTAGATACCTGCTGTGGAAATGTGGATACTAAAAACATAGAAGACGCAAGATATTTATTCCGTTTAAACCCTCCAAAATCGATATTTTGTCTAACTGCTAAAGTGACAAGATTCTAAGTTGATTGAAACTGCAAAAGTGACAAGGTTCTAAGTGCGCTTGAAATTTATATTTAGATTTTTAGCTACTCACCGTAAATCCAGCCAATTTTCAAGTCGCCAACATATTATGAGAATTCAATCACAGAACCACATCCACCACGGAAACCATTGATTGGAACACATTAGATTACTACTGTCTCAAAACTGAAGAAGTTCGCAAGCAAAAAGGTTTAATATGGCGAGATGAAGTCACATGTTGCGAAAAAGGCACCTTCGCATTTTGAACTTTAACAAGTTTTTTGCAATACACCGAATTAAGTTAACAGTTCACCGGCGAAAGGTAAAGTATGTAAGTACTTGAAGTAAGTAATTGGTATTTTTGCGACGTGCGCAAAGTGTGGTGCGCTTCCCGCGTGTGAACTGAAGATGCGCTTGCGCCCGCCGGTCGCGTGCGCGTTACGAACGTACTACAGCGTATGAGGTGTGTTCCCGTTAAAAATTGCCTAGTAGTTTTTTATATTGAAGTCATGAAGAAGCACCACATTATCGGACACGTTTTCACTCATCATGTGGTAGCATGTGGACTTTGAGTCATTAATTTGGAAGTTATTGTTTTGTATCGTTGTAAGCAGTAATTGCTTGATGCTGTAAAGTGAGAATGCCTTTCTGTTATCGAAATGAAGCTCAATCTAAGTTATGCGTCCAGGGGGATAATATTCTTATACAAAAATAAAGTTTCAAAAATTAAAATATGACATTTCCAACCATTTAATGATCGCGAAAGGTCCTCCTTTCGCGCTTTAAATGTTTACACAATTTGAATGACCAGCTAGCGACCTTAAAGCAAGTTACAAATTTACATTACCCTACGCGTCATGTGGAGCACTGGCAGCGTTGCCAGTTTTTTTTTACCAAGTCGGGATTTAGGAACTTTTTGAGTGAAACAAGCGGGAACCTTTCATGGAAAGCGGGACATAGTAAAAAACGTATATAATCAAAGTTTGAATATTTATCTTTTTATTTAAGTTCAAATTACGTTTACGTGACGATATATGTACCTAGTAAAAATATCCATAGAAAATGTATTTTGATAAAAATACATTTTATTATATATATTAAATCAGATTTACCCTATCGTTAAATAGTTGAGTCTTTGTTTGAGAGTTCTTCATTACGCGCAGGTGGCCAGTCCACACTTGTCTGTGTGGACCCGCCCGCGCTTTCTCAGTACGCTGCACACACACGGTCGAGTTATTCCCGAAAAGCGGGACTGAACATGTCCCGCGCGGGACATTCAATTTGATTTAAAAATCGGGGCGTCCCGCCAAATTCGGAACGTCTGGCAACGCTGTGTTCTGGGAACATTACTCACTGCAGGAACATATCACACTAAATGAATTTCTACCTCTCATTGATTATGCCGATGTCTGTTATCCTGATTTAAATACAGATTTTCTCAATAAATTGGACCGCCTTATGAATAATGCTATACGTTTCATCTTTTGCCTCCGCAAATTCGACCATGTTTCTTTATATCGATCCCAACTAAAATGGCTTCCTATTCGCCAGCGTAGGCAGTTAAGATTACTCTGCACTCTTTTTTCCATTATTTCCAACCCTCATTCTCCAGAGTACTTGAAATGCAAGTTTCAGTATCTCTGTGATAGTCACGATCGTCCTCTCCGCTCTGCTGATTCATTAGCTCTCTATATTCCTCTTTCTCACTCAGGCTATATGTCCAACTCCTTTACTATTCAAGCTATACGACTGTGGAATGGCCTTCCCGACTCCATCAGAAGATCTCCTAGTAAACTTATATTTAAGAGGAATGTTCACGCTCATCTGTTGCAAAACTTAATATGAAGTGTCATTTTAGTAATCATCATCTTGTGTATATATGTGTATACTGTATATATTTAAATATTAGTGTGTTTTGTTTGTATGTATTATATTATTTTTATAGTATGTATTTATATATGTATCTATGTTAATTTGTATATGCATTCGTATTTAGCTTTATACCGCCGTTCGTGTTTTTCATTTTTCCCAAAGGTTGACTGGGAGAGAATGCTTTTAGCATTAAGTCCGCCTTTTGAACCAATGTTATATATTTATATTTTGGTCAATAAAGTTTAAAAAATAAAATAAAAAAATAAATAAATGATGTTCTACAGTATTAGGTAGGTAATACCTATTTGACTGCAGGATTATGTCAGCTGGATGGCGTATTTCACACTTATATGTAGACCACTTAAATCAAACTTTAATGATATGTTGCTGACTGCTGTAGTACTTACCTAAGTATTACTATATCGTTTAGTTAAGTACTTAATATCATTATATTAAGTACTTAACTTAAGTAGTAGCTGTAGCTGAATGCAGCTAGTTGTAATTTTTTTAAGTAAATCAAATATCCATAAAAGGAGGTTTTTAGAAAGATCAACCTGCAGTGTTATTCTGGAAGAACAAACCCACTTTTCAACGGTAGAATCTAGGCTGTTATTTGAAATAATCAACGTAAAATTACTATTGTGTTTAATTAATTCTAGTTGTCTCCGTCTAATGTTATCGCAAAGAAAATGACATCAACAACTTTTGTCAACTTCAATGTTCATTGACTTATCTGTGCGACCGTTAGAATTAATTCGGCATTAATAAGAGGATAAAAAGAGGTATGCCATGGTATTGCGTACATATACGCGTAGTTAAATTTACTTTCAGAACAAACTACTTATTTGTAGATAGCAACGAGCGAACAACGGTACCGCACCAAAAGCTGATGTTATCGCGTGCCTCCGTTACATATTCAGCGATTATGGCATTTTACGAAAGTTAACTATTTTTGTATGATGCTAAAGGCGGACTTTATTGTATAATTGGCATATTGAGCGTAACGCCGACCGCCGCGCCGGCCGGTAACGGTGGTGTCGACGTGTTAATGGATTTCTGTTTAACTATAGAAAATGAAAGATGATACACAGTAAAATAACCTTTTGGTCATATTGTGTTTCTACTACTGAGTAGGGTTCCAGAACTCCGCCGGGTAGGGGATTGGGTTCATGGTTTGGGTTTGGCTAGCAAGGTGAAGATGGCTGGAGAGGCACAATTTCTGCAGCATCATCTATCTTTGCGACTGCATTCCACTTACAATTAACATCACTTGGGGTGGGGTAATTTGTTGCGCCTCGAATAAAAAAAAAGTTTGATCCGTCCATTTACATATGGTTATGATATTTGAGTGAAACCTCCAAATATTCGTAAGGTTCGCTTTAGTAGGTGTAGCTGCTGTGGAATCCTTCTCTTGTTCGTTGCTTGTCATCGTGGTGTGAGATGGTAATACCAATGTCTACCAAATTTGAAAAACGGCAATAAAACGTGGTTTCATGTAGCTTTACCATAATGATGTCTACTACCACAAACTAAACCTCACCCACAATTTCTCAAACTCACATGAAACTACGGGAACGTCTGGGTAATTTACACTACAGGCCTTTCCTTATTTATATTTTGCTACAAAATCTTGCCTCGTCGAAAATTCCGCTAATACTTATTCAAAAAGTAAACAGCTTCCCGTCTGGTTGGTGGTGAAAAGGCGCGGTCGAAGCCCACTCAATTTGACCCGGGGATTAAGACTTTAATGGATTTTATAAGGGCCGATTCATATCAGAATGGCAGCGGCCGGCGACCGACGGACGGCGCGACGCGGCGAGCATTTTCATGCTGGGGCCATACTAACGGGAAATGTTAATGAGAAGAATATAACATGTTCAACTTAATTAAAATAAAACTCAATTGTGCAGAAATATCAAAATGGAATTTATTCATTATATTTTACTTAGTAACTAACAAACTAATCTATAAGAAATATATCTCCCAGCTGTCTCCGAAGATCTTATGATTTTTACGACCTGTAACAAAATAGACACTATAAAACAAAAGGTAAGAAGTATACACCCCCGAAATGTTCTTCTAGCATAAAATCATTGACAACGGAACCCGTGCAGTGGTAATTTTACATACAAAAAACGTTTTACTGCGCAAGTTCATTAGCGAAGATTTTGCTCAATAAGTTTGCCTATACCTACCTATACCTGTATTTTACTGATATGCTTTTTGAAGTGAAAACTTCTTCAGCACAGTTGTGATTTGAAATTCGATGAAACGAAAAAGCGACAGTATTTGACACAAGGTATCCGTAATTTTAAACTCTCTGCAAGAGACAGATACCCGAACGGTAACGGTCTTGGGGTCGATACCAAATGATCGGTGGTTTGATCCTGAGCTCGGTTATTTATTCAATTACTTTTTCATCTTTCATTAAGCTATTATTTATTTTTCGAAACAATTTGGGTATAGAATATTTCATTTTGCCCAGTATTTTACAATACCTGAATAGTTAAGTATTCAACGTTTGGTAGGTGCCAAGTTGTTTATTAATACAGGCTTGGTTTTTATCAACAATCCTAACCTATCTAATATTTGCAATTTTTTTACAGTTTTTTTATAAATATGTTGAAAACAACCCTAAGATAAGAAAAACATAGCAAAATAAATAAAATAAACATAATTGGTAACAAATAAAGCCGAGGGCGGCTGAAGGACTTCTACGTGTTCACCTTTTTTTAGGTTACACTTCTATTGCATGTGACCAGCACGTGTCCGTTTTTTTATCTCTATATTTCATAAACCTTTATAGATAACATAGCAATGAATATACTTTTAGGACATTTGCTATATTTTCTTTCGTGCATCTCTTTTTAGTTTTGCAGTATTTTTGTCAGTTTGGATTGGTAAGTGTGCTAACGACTGATAGAGCCTAGTCGAGATCAACGGCTTAACCACTCGGCCATGGAGGTCATCAAAAACATAGTTCCTCGGTAGACCCCTGAACATGTTTGTGAGCATACGGGACTCTACTTTTACAATGTGGGTCCATCTCAACAGCAAATAATTTTAAAAAAATCCCATTTTTCCATTTGTAAGGTAGGTGTTATGTATCATAATAAAAACAACGAAAAGCATATCCATTACTCATTATCAGATTATAAACAATCTAAATACTCACCTGTCCTCGTTTAAGTCCAAAATATCTTGCTACAGGATCACCAGCCTGTATTCTCATCAACATGTTTTCCTTTAATTTACTGTATAAAATGTTAAGGACAAATATTGAAAATATATTGTGATATGTAGGATACATAGCTTATTCAAATATAAGCATAAGCATGTTAAATTATTTTTTTAACTCAAAATCTAAGAAAATCTGCTACTAATAACAATGGCTAATCTATTTTTGTGTGTGTGGAAAAAATACTGCTAATCTGGAAATAGTATTTATAAATATTAGTCATATGTATTGGTTCTAATTATGGTGTGATTTTCAAAATTTTGATTATACTCTGTTTTTATCATGTTAATTAAAAAATATAGGGAGAAACTACTGCAGCAGGTTTAGAGAACCATGACAAAATTAGGCCCAATAACACTGTAAAATTTGCAAAGGATACTATCTCGCTAATAGTTCTTGTTTTTCATCAGGTGTTAGCACAATATGCTCCGGAACCAATTCATGTTCTGTAATGTTGATCAATAGTTCAGATTCTAAAAATTGCTCCAATATGTACTTTGGTGCCATATCTACTAGTGACTGCTTCGCTGATGGTGTCATACCTGTATAAAAAAAAACAAATAAATACATCATTTACATACTGCTCATTTGCACAAAGAGCTCAAAAATAGGAATTTTTGAAAACCTAAACTATCACGGAGTTGAGTTCATTGTTTCAATGGGAATTAGTTATAATCATAGATTATGAGGACTTCCATCTCAGAGCAATAACTAAAGCATAGGAGTAATGCTTTGACATTTGAATGAACTGTACACTCCTATAAAATTTTAATGAAAAGATTTGCAAAAAAAGTATTAACCAATGAAAAAGTACTAGGAGTGGAGTGTTGAAAGGTTGCATTGGACACTAGATTGCTTGTTAATTTGGTATTGTAAAGGTAAATAAAGTATCCCCAAGGTATCCTATTTGAAGTTTATCTAGTGGTATGAATACTGTTCAAAGCAACATATAATTATGTGTCCCTTTTTTGGTCTTTAGATATGTAAAAATAAGGTAACTATAAATGTGGACCATATGAGTTGAATTTAATCTCTTTCTTTGCTCTAGTTCTTGTTCTGAGACTTGGATTGACTTAAGAATTGGGTAGAGGTGGTACCAAAAAAGAATATCAAAGATATTTTTATTGAAATCAAAGGCTTTTTAAAAGAAACATTTTGAATGAAATAAAATTTATTTGTTTCACTCAAAAGATTTCTTTATTATTTTTATATCTTTGTTCATTATTGTTCAGTGTGCATATACGGGAATGCTTTGAGAACTTTCCCTTAACAAAATTATTCTAAGCAGGAAAAGTTGCAAAGACTAGACAATTTTAACATTTAATAGTAAGTAAAGGCATAGTTACCTGCTTGCACCACAACAATGGCTCTATGAATGTTTTCTTCTTGCATTCTTGTACAGTAAGTTTTAATAGTTTTAATTCCTATTTTAGCTTCATCAGGGAAAAACACAAACATTTGATCAGTTGGGTCATCATTATGAGCAACAAGCACAATTAGATCGCTTCTTGCAGGTCGCTTTTCACTGTAATATGTAATTTAGAGTTTTTAAGCAAATGAGTTTGAAACTTTTTTACACATTATAATTATGATCTTCAAAGAGAATAATATGATAATCTCTGAATTTCTTTAAAAAATAAAAATGACAGTTTATTTAGTATTTTTATTTGTGAAACTTCAAATTATTTGGTTTATCAAAATAAGCAGTAGCAATACAGCATAATGTTGACTGTAGATGAAAACATAAAGAGGAATATCCTTGAAAGCAGAATAACTGAAACATCAAGGATCCACCTTGGTAAGTAATCACACTTCACACAATTATTATAAAGGCGAAAGGTTGTGAGTGTGTGTGTGTATTTTTGTTACTTCTTCACGTCTAAACAGCTGGAGCGATTTTAATAATTTTAAGAGTTAGTTGACACCCTGGATTAACATACAGGCTACATTTTACTGCAGGAAAATATCCTTAAAAACTGCAGGTAACAGAGCGGAGCACAGCTAATAATAAATAAAATTGAGTTGGTACCTGGGTTTGTCTCCAAACTGTTCTTTGAATTGTTCTAAAGTTTGGTCCAATTCATCCTGTGTCACTAGATATCCTCTGTCATGGCATAGCTGAAATTTAGTACAATATGTGTAAGTAAAGAGATATATTTCATGATAGACTGGGATAAATAATGTAAATGCACCTTTAATTTATAAGTAGTTATTCATAGTACTTATATCAAAACGAAAAGGGAAGATGCTATTACGGAAGTATGTTCCTACTAGTGTCAAATTAAAATTTGCTCTGCTCCGATTCAATTACATAAAATATTACAAATGTATAGTGATGCAGTGACATTTGTTAAACGTTCTTGAACAATTTGTGCACTTTTCAAAAACACTGAAGGTATTGTTTTATCATTATATGACAGATTGTGATTAAGCATGCACCTAATTTAAGTTATTTAACGTAGGTAGTTAAAATCAATTTTAATATTTTATTACAAAAGAAAATACAATATCTTAATTGAAAATTAATAAATACTGAAGCCTTGTGCATTTTTTTTTTACTGTTCAGGCAGTGAAGAATTTAATTTTTTATTTATTTTATTAATTTCAAATTTAAGCCATGACTTATGAGGTTATGTTCTTCACCTTACCTGCATTACAGTCTTACGGATTCGCCAAAGTTTATACGTTTCTGCATCATCATCCATGTTATTAGGATAATATTTAAAATGACCTTACTAAGTATTTTGTGGATAAAACTTATTTAATTTATAATGGTAAAATCAAACAACAAACATTCAACAACATAAGTCACAGCACAGACTACAGAGAATATGCAAGAATGACATGCCATCGGAGCTGCCAACCGTACCTCGTACGGAAAACCAAAAATCTCGTATTTGACGTATTTGTACGCTAGTCCATTAAACCACAGGACTAGCCTCGTAAGATCTTTCCCCTCAGTCAAAGTATAAGATCAAATGATCCTGTGCGTTCATAAAAACTACTTACAATCTAATCGATTTCCGCAGTGTAAGAAACGTTATAGTAGTGACAACAGCTCGTGTCTCCTCGCAAAAAATGCCGACCTGTACTGTTTTAACGTGCAAAAAAGTTCAAACACCTCTAATTTACAAAAAGATGAAATATAATTCCACATGTAAGTGTTTCTTCTATATTTTAGTGCTTTTTTCAATTAAAAATGAATTTTACAATAATCCAGAATAGAAACTTGCAAGTAATCGAGTGAGATCCAATTCGAATATGTGCCGAAACATATTCATAAGATTTTATACCTTATGATTAAAAAATAGAGTCCATTTTAGTGACCTAAACTATTTCTTGGCAAATATAGTCTCTATTGCATGCTCCCCACGAGACTAGCAAACGCACTCCCTACGATACTATTTTTTTTTAATTATCAAGTTTCGACCTTAAGTCCCGCAGTTAAGATACGAAATAAAAATAATATAACTGACATCGAGTGGAGCGAGACTTTTAGGTGATAGGAAATCAAATTGAAAAAATAATATCGATTAAATGGTTTTTGTTTTTTTATTATTAAGCACGTTGCGGGTTAAAAATACGAATTGTACGATAATCATATTTTATTGTAAATTGTCCTAGAAAAGTACCACTGGGTTTTTAAATTTATTCAAAAATACCGATGTTATTAAAGGAATCTTATGTAATGTTACCATACGCTTCCCTAGTCTTTTTTTTCTTTCATGTGATTAATTAACTTGAGTAAATCTGGTGTCAGACCTTTCCAAGCAGCCTCGTCAAGCTTCCGACATAGCTAGTTTTTAAGTATGCTATCTTGCGATAAGTTTCCAGGAGTTTCCAACAGCTTAATGTGCCTAAGCAAGAGAATCGGTTTCCAATTTGGGTCACCCATCTGGGCATATTACGAATAATGTGATCGTAGTGCCACTAACCTTCTCTGGTTAAAAGTATATTAATACAAAGTGAGTACCTATAAAGCATCAAGCCTGCCTAGAAGATGCCTGTTCACTCTGGCCTTGAAGATATCCAGATATTGGTCCGGGAAAACAGATTATTTATTATTAGTTCTCGTGATATTAGAGTTTTGCTGCGGTTCTGACTCCCGTTTCCTTTTTCACACAAGTCGAAGCTTTAGGATTTTGAGATTTATCTTTCGACTCAGTCTATGCATCTTATCAAACTCTATAATTATTATGATTCTCACATTATTACTAGATTCCCTAAACATCCTACTTTAAAAACGAAGCGAATTAAAGAATAAACAGAATTTTGCACAAAAAAAGAGAAGTTGGGAGCCTAGCCGAACAAGTACAATTTGTTCTGCACACCTTGATTTGGTTCAATTCCAATGTTTGCCCAATAAACGACGAAAATTAATCGAAAATGCCGTACCGACGTTGTTTGCAGCGTGAGTTTTTTTTTATAACGTTCTAATTTCGTTGGTAACATAAACACAACCCGTTTTCCCTAATTTTATAAATTCAATTAAATCATAATACGTCAGAATGTGAAACATGCGAGGAAAATGATGTGAACGTGAATAAACGACTGATTTTAGACGAAAATGGCGTAACGTCCTCGTGTGCAACGAAATCTGTGAGTGTTTTATTTTTATTTTTTCCCCTTGACAGAAACATTGCCTCATTTCCCTAATTTTCAACATAACCTTTCAGAATATCAAGTCACAATACAAAGCATGTGTGAAATCTAAAGAGCCTAAACCGTCTACAAGTAAAATATTACCGACCACTTCAAATATAGAACTGACGCCAAGAAAAAAAAGATGAAGTTAAAAAACGAATACCAATAAAAAAAAATTGCAGTCAAAGACGAGATACTTAAAAAAAGAAGTAGCGTCTCTTAAAGAAATTTTGAAAAAACTTAATGAAAAAGCTCTCATTGATGATTGATTGATGAATGAAGAGCTCTTAAGAAGGCAGGTTCCAATAAAGAGTTAAGGGGAAAATCTCACAGAAACCATTTTCCCCAGAGTTCCGATGCTTTGCACTAACTTTAAATTATTACTCACCAAAAGCGTATAACTACATAAAAAATTATCAACGGCACTGCCGCATCTTAACACTAACAAAGTGGTATGCTACTGTTGATGGTCGACCTGGTTTTACACAAGAAGCGTTAAACGCCCTCAAACGTGTAAAAGATAGCAAGCCTGATAAAAATGTTTATTGTTCACTTGTGATAGATGAAATGAAAATGAAAGATAGTCCTGAATGGCACCCTAAATTGCAACGGTACAATGTTTATATAGACTATGGTTTTGATGATGTCAATGAAACCAGTGAAAACAGCTACAGATGCTCTGGTGTTTCTTTTGGTGGGTATAAACATCAAATGGAAATTACCATTAGGTTACTTTTTAGTAAAGGGAACATCTGGAGCTCTTAAAGCCCGTTTAGAAACTGAGGCATTCGAACTCATTCATAATACAGGTATCGAAATTAAAGCCCTGACCTGCGATGGAACTAAAGCCAATATTGCTATGGCTGAGGAGTTAGGCTGCTGCATGGACGCTAATAATTTATAAACAACAATATTAGACCCCACTACTGGCCAACAAGTTCATTTCTTCTTGGATCCTTGTCATGTGTTAAAACTAATACGATCTGCATTTGAACATTTTGAAAGCTTTATTGACGCTTCAGGTAAAAAAATTAAATGGAATTACATTTTAAAATTACATCAGCTGCAAGAAGAAGAACTGTTTTTCCTAGCAAATAAATTAAAATCAAACCACGTTTATTTTAAATCCAAAATTATGAATGTCCGTCTGGCAGCTCAACTCTTTAGCGAAAGTGTAGCAGATGCTTTGTTATTTTGCAATAATAATCTAAATTTACCTGATTTTGGTAACGTGAACCAAACAGTAGATTTTCTAAAAATAATTAATGATATCTTTGACATTTTAGATTCAAAACCTCATAGCTTTGGTTTTAAAAGAGCCATAAGCCAAACCAATTATCAATCTTGTTTTAAAAAATTAGATGAAGCTAAACACATTTTAATGAATTTATCCGCCGACGTTCCAATATTATATTAACACGGACAAACATTCTTAAAACTCAGCGCTTTACTGGATTTTTAGGTTTTTATGTTTGTGTGGAGAGTGCCAAATCTCTCTTTACAGATTTAGTATTGAGTCCATCTACGGAGAGAACTTACCTGCCATTTCATAAAATAAACCAGGACCATATAGAAATTCTATTTTCAAAAATCAGGTGTCACGATGGTTATTAACCCTACAGCACGCCTCATCGAGGCCACATATAAAAAACTGTTGATACATAATGAAATAACTATAACTGGTACAGGGACCAATTACTTACCCCTAGAAAACATTAGTATTTTAACTTGTTCTTCTGCGGACAAAATTAACCTTACCGCTACTCATAAAAATATCTCCTCGGCAGATATAAATGACGATTCAGAAATTATGAATGATTTCGACGTTGAATGCAATATGTATCTCTCACCGTTTGGTCACAAAGTAGTCGAATACATATCTGGATTGTTGTATTTTCTCTTTGAAAAAGAATCGGATGTGACGACTGCCTTAAAGGCTTATTTGGACCATATGATGATAAAAGTCTTACATATCACAAAACTAAGGGATATCTAAAGTATGCGTCAGAAAGTGTTATTGCATTATATCACTTATGCGAAAAAAATATTAGACAGGGGCTGGATGATAACAGAAAAATAATACGAAGTACACAACGAATTATATAGTAACAACCTTAGATTGTAATAACAGCTCTTCGTAACCTGATAGGTATTTTTTTTCCAGATATTAAAATGCATGATACGGATGTTTTAGTGAATCACCAAATTGAATTAGCTAAATCAGTAATAAAGAAGTACACTGACACGAGAATTTCATATCTTGTCCAAAAAAGCGATCCGAGAAACAGCATAAGACATTTACTCAAAATTAATACATTTTAAAAATCAATAAGTTTCATATTAATAATACATGCTTGTGCATGCTTGCGTATGTAATATGAACATACCGTACGTAGTGTACGGATGTATTTTAATACATAGTTGCCATAGTAACAAAAAGTACGATGAGACAGCTGATGGTTTCATGACGGTTTAGTAAAAATGAGTTTTTATACTTTAACATTGGAATGGTGAAATGAGTGTTCATTAAAACAAACTAAATTAACCCAGACTCGAGGGATCTTTTTGCTAACATTGAAGAATTCACTATATACCTCCTGGCTTCATTATCAGACTGGCTCAATGATATCAGATTATTGTATTATCATCCGATTTACATACACATACCAAGTTTTGAATCAATATGAGAATAAGAAGTAGATTGAATTCAACTTTTCAGATTTGTTTACGTAAAGTGAAGTCAATATAAGCGTGTTAAAATATGATAAGTTTTGACTTGTTTGACATAAGCTCCTAAAAGATATGAAATCATCAACAGATTATGTACCACTGAGAATAATTGTAATAATCATAATAATGTTAAATAAAAGTGAATTTACTAGATTATTTGAGTGCATGTTCTACTTTTTTCAATAAAAGTTTTAATCTAATATCTTAAAGTATTTTTATTTCATTTTAATTTACCTCTGGCCATCTACACTTACAGGAGCAATATTTTTTTATTATCGAAATCGTTAAATTTAACACACATTTTATGGACAGGACTGTACCTATGTTGAAACGACTGTTTGACAGAAATTAACATATTGCAAAACAAATGATATTTAAGATCTTCTCCCACAAAAGCGATTTTTTAAGTTTAGCAAAAATTATAGAAATTATAGCAAACGTAGGAAAAATATAAATATGGGAAATTTGGGTGTTTA